CCCCAAAACCCCAAAACCCCAAAACCCCAACTGCTCTTTTTTATGTAAATTTAATAACGATTCTTAAATAAAAAGTGGTAAAATAATAAAAATTAATCAAGACACTGATCTGTATGTAACCTCAACTTTTCTAGCGAATGTGTCTTGAGATGGATCTGCAATGGCGTGCAAAATTAGTTCCATTTCACCTGGCTGGATGACTTTAGTATTTCTTCCAATTTATGGTAAGAAAAGCATCTATTTGCTATGCTTTCCAGCATCAATAGTGATTTCAATTGGTTCATTAGATAAGTTAATACCAACATATGAGTAACTGTAGACATCCCTAAAAATTATGATTATAAGTTAAATTACTCTGAATAGCTGAAGGCAACTTGGTAGACTCCTCTTCTTGAGATGAGATCTTTTGGATTGTATCCATTTTCAAGTTCCTTTTGAACAATTAGGCAATCAGCAAGATTATCAAGATCAGTTCTGATAGCATCCTTTGCAATAACTTCGAATTTATTAGCACAGTGGAAAGTAAGAGTGAAGTTTCTTGAATCAGTATTAATTAGGTGTTCATCATAACCAAGGTTGGCTAACCAGGTTCTGACTTCATCCTCTCCTCTTCTTTCAATTTATTCTTAGAAGAACATTTTAAGACCTCTAACTGTAACACCCTCTGAAGTACTACAATATTTGTCTAAGAAGCTCAACTTAAAGTCGAATTCAGTCAATTCTGGCTTGCCAGTGCATCTGTAAAAAGACTTGAATTCATCATAGCTGAGCTCTCTGCCTATGAAGAGATCAAATTTTCTGAAGACATCTTCTACAACACTTTCGAATGCTTTGGTTAATTGTCCATCTTTATCTGTGAGAGAGGTCTTTGGCTTATCATTCCATGTTGCTGATTTACCCATTAAAGCTCCAGTGGTTCTTGGTATTACAATATATTTACCTGGGTTTAATTCTACTTCAAGCTCAACCTGTCTGTCTCTTGAAAGATTTCTGTAGTCAATAAGTTCCATTGAATCATCCTCATTAACTCTTATTACTGCTAAACTGACATCAATGAAAGGTCTTCTCTAGAGAACTCCTTAAATTCTCTCATCTTCTTAGTGGAGACCGATAAAAACTTTGGTGGTTTCATTTTTAATTTCAAGCTCATAATACCATTTGGATACAACTTATTCAAATGTTTCATCAGCTTCATCTCTTAGTCTCAGGAATTTTCCTCTAATTCTATTTTCTTGCCAATTTCTAACTCTGCAGACATTTAGTGATCTAAAGTATTTGATAAAATCTTCAAAACACATCCAGAAAGTGCCATCATTAGCATCAAGAATTGGTTGAATAGCATCTTTCATGTCATCTGTCCAGAGCTCGCTGTTATCACTCCATGCTCCATCCCATTCGAAAGTACCCCATGGATTTCTAATGTTAACAAGTTTATTACCATATCCCTCCTTCACCTGGATAACACTATAGGCGTGGCCTGGAACTAGTCCACCGTCTTTATCTGGTCCGCCTAACTCGGTCCATCTATCTTCTCCTGGTGTACTTGCAGATAAAAGATATCCATCAATATCGAATTGAAGCATTTCTTTGAATAAAGAGCCGTTTTCAATCATATTCTTAACTTTGACGTTTTGGAAATCGTACGTATTGCTTGGACATCCAGTTAAGTCAATCATACCTTCATTTGCGAAACCTCCTCTTAAAGTGAAATAGTTTCCATGTAATTTAGCATAAGCTTTCTCGATTAAGAGTACCCATAGTTCATTGTCATGAGCTCTGCTGAAGAGTGGACCACTGAAAGGTAAACATGGGAAGTAATCATCAATGGTAACTTCTACCCATTCTCCATTTTTGCAAAACTTTATTCTATAAACTCCCTCGGCGTTTTTCTTTTTAGTTATGAATAGATTCTCGACTAATTTTGGTCGCTCAGCTAACGATCCTAGGGCACACATAAACCAGCAATTACCAAGAGATCCTTGCTTTATATCGTTTGGTTCAATATCTTCATAGAACACTTCAGCAGGTCTCAAACCTTTTGAAGCATCAACTCTCATGAATTCATCAACTCTTCTCCAGTGGATCTCGTACTTAAATGGATATTTTTCTTCTTCTTCAGCACTGAGAACAGTTAATAAGATATGATTACCAAAAAGCGCTTGAATCTTGTGGTGGGAATGTGATATCAAAGAAATTAAGCTTAAATTGGTCAATCTTAGCCTTAATCTCATCAATAGATTTCAATTCGTAGGGGAAAAGCTTGAGTACCTGAGTAGCTTTTTCTTTCTCAGCTCCAACTCTCTTTTTATCTCTGTTAAGTCTTTCCTGTATTTAGGGGTTCATTTAAAAATCTTAATATTTAATTACAAATAAAATTAAATTTCATTTGTCGATAGTTCGATCAATTCGAAAGACCTGCTTGTTGCTTGATATAATGAATATACAAAAAGCTTAATTGCTCTAGACTTAAATTACTGGAGCAGCCCCTAATACACATAGACTATCAAATACTTAGCTACTCCCCTTATAGTAGTAGAAGTCCAAAATTCATGATTCTCGGCAGTCTAAGTTATTTGGGAAATCAATGTAAGGCAGCTATGACAATATCGCCTCCAAAGAGTTTGATAATAAAAATATCAATGATGGCAAAATATCTAAAAATGGAAGGAAGGTAATTTTAGATATAAGCAACTATAACATCGCGCATGAAAACTTCTGGGGCAATAACAAAGGGTAGATCAGAGTAAAAGAAATGAGACAAACTATTGACGAGATCAAAGAACAATATGATCAGAGAATATTTCTTCATGAAAAATTTAAAAGACTTATAAATTATAAGGAAAGAGTAGGTAGTGTAGAACCTGTTAGAAATGAAGAATTCAGCCAAACCTTAGGCCATGATTTTTATGAATGATAGAAGATAGCGCATTAGAAAATACTTTAGAGATGTTAGATAACAAATGGATTGGACTCTCCAAAGAACTATAGCATTATAGAACCAGGTTTGAATACTAACAATATTCAAATTGGCAATAATGATAACTTCAAGCTCCATTAATAGTATTATGATTAAAATTATCTTCACAAACGATCAGAGAAATTGCGCAGATTAGCAGACAAAAATTGCTAGTATAAGCATGAGTTAGTCAACAGTAGCCTTGAATCTATCATTGAGTCCTTAGATATTATTCTGAATGGAATAAAGAATTATCAGACAGATAACATTGATATTCAAAGATATTTGAATGCCCACTAGAATTCTTTATTACAACTAATGGGGAATCTTTAGAGCAGAAATTTTTTCGAATTTGCCATTTAAATATAATCATACTCAAGATAGCCATTTCTGACTGATTAGTTGACTCCAATTGAATTGGAATCGGATTTGCAGATTATTGGACTTGTGAATCAATTATTGCTGCATAAATAGGATGAGAGCTACCAAAATGTTTTAGCTCAGAAAGTTTAAATCATTTACAATAAGTACTAGAAATTTATTAAGAACTACTAAGATATTTAGCTTGAGTTAAAAATACCTGACATTGAGATTCTAAACGCTGCTAATCGTCCCACCAATTTTATGAGGAGAAAGAAGAAGTCAATGAACAGAATTGATTTAACTTAAGTTTTGCCAAGTGTGCATTTAGAGAAGAAATCTAAAAGAGAACAATAGTAGAGGTCAGTCTCAGTTGGAGTTAACAGAAGAAACATTAAGAAATTACTTAATGCTAGTAACATTATGGTGTAATTAAACGATAGATAGGCATCTTAGGATGACATACCAATGCTAGAAAATAAGAACAGCATTGATGAAAATGGTGCGAATTTCGAAAGCTAATTCTAATATTACGATACTAATCCTCGTGAAAATACGTCGATCATTGATATGGCTTAGACAACTAAACATCAAGATTTAAGAAAAGGATTGAGAACATCCATTAATAAAAGAAAGCTTCATAATAGAAGCGAAATTTCTCCAAGACTGAATGACTCAGTTAAAAATGCTTCACATAACATCACTCACCTTTATCCTAATCACTATCAAACGACTAAATCTTCATTAGTTCAAATGCATCAACCCAAAAAGAACAAAATTAGATAATGGAATAGCCTTTTTAGATAAAACCCTCACGTAGTATCTATTCTTTTAAAGTAGATAGACAAGTATATAAAAGGGAATGTAACTTCAAACATCAGCCATCAGTCAAGCATTCTATAGAGGAATCTATAAGTAAACAAAAATAAAGACTCTAAGATCCCTAAATTATAGGTTTAAAATTATGATTATCAATGAAATTGCTTTATTCAAAATGTTAATATTTTTCCCAATAATATATCCTCATTCACGGGGTTTTGGGGTTTTGGGGTTTTGGGGTTTTGGGG